GCTCCGGTCTCCAGCTTTCTCTCTCCACAAGATACATCCGCACATAAATAACCCAGTAATTGACTAAAGGCTGGCCAATTCATCCCCAAAATTAGCGGATGCCGGAGGTGCGGATTAATTGTGACCTCCACACTATGGTTTTGACCCCGAAATTTAATCAGCACGGACATTAGAGGATATTCCACCACATCCCCGTGCACACACTGCACCGGAACCATGCGGCTTCTATCCAGTGCCTCGAGCTGAATCAAGCTTTGATGGATCGAGGTTTGGTTACACCCCGAATCCACCAAAGCGAGATAAGTACCCCCCTTAATACTCACAGGTATTTGGTACAGGCCAGCTTGATCGGGGGCAGCCTGTGGGTCGTCCGGGACCCGGATCAGTGCCCCGACCTCCATCACCGGGCACCGGTCAATGAAATGTCCGGGATCCCCACAACGCCAACAGGCCGGCCCAGACTTCCCCGCCGCCCTAGTGGCAGGAAGAGGGTCAAGGGACTGGCGTGGAGAGAGTGGGAAAAAGGGAAGTGCTGTGGATCCCGCCCCCCTGGGCGGTGCTCTCATGCCAGCGGCAGACTCCGGAGGCGGCCCACCCCTTCCCCGGGGAGGAACTCGAGGAGTGATTCCCGGATGGGACCTAGGAAAGGGAACAGGACGGGGGGAAGAGGGAACATTAGGAGAAGAGAGAGAGAGAGACCGCCGGCAGGGATTCGCCGACTCCTGGGCACACCACCATCTGGTCCTCCGCCAACTGGATGGCCAGGTCGGTGGCAGTGGACCCACTCCGCCGTCTTCTTCGGGAGACAGTGATAAACTGCTCCAGCACCACACGGTCGAGGATCTGCTCGGCGTTGCTTCCATGCTGGCTATCTAATGGCTATCCAGCAGCCATTTGCGGCAGGCGTCCCGGAGCTGCTGAGCCAACACACACCACCATCTGGTCCTCCGCCAACTGGATGGCCAGGTCCAGCGACGCCGGGCGGTGGCACTGGACCCACTCTGACGTCTTCTTCGGTAGACGGCCGATAAACTGCTCCAGCACCACACGGTCGAGAATCTGCTTGGCGTCGCTTCCCCCGGCCAGCAGCCATTTGCGGCAGGCGTCCCGGAGCTGCTGAGCCAACACGAAGGGCCGGCCACTTTTCCCCAGATTCAGCGAGCGAAACCGCTGGCGATGTTGTTCTGGGCTCCGGCCGACCCACTGCAGGATAGCTCGCTTCAGGTCGGTGACGACCAGGAGGTTTTGAGTGGGCAGTTGTTGGGCCGCCGCCTGCGCCTCCCCTGACAGTCAAGTCAAGTCAAGTCACCTTTATTTATATAGCGCTTTTAACAATACAGATTGTGTCAAAGCAACTGAACAGCATTAATTAGGAAAATAGTGTGTCAATAATGCAAAATGACAATAGTAAACACTAATTTTTCAGTTAAAGACAGTTCATCATTGAAATCATCCAGCTCAGTTCAGTTTAAATAGTATCTTTGCAATCATTTGCAATCAAGTCAACGATATCGCTGGAAATGAAGTGTCCCCAACTAAGCAAGCCAGAGGCGACAGCGGCAAGGAACCAAAACTCCATCGGTGACAGAATGGAGAAAAAACCTTGGGAGAAACCAGGCTCAGTCGGGGGGCCAGTTCTCCTCTGACCAGACAAAATCAGCAATTCAATTCCAGGCTGCAGGAAAGTCACATTGTGCAGAGGACTCATCTGGTTCCTGTGGTCTTTTCCCGGTGGTCGTCTGAGACGCTGAGATATATAGTGGAGTATCATCGGCATAACAGTGGAAACTAATCCCGTATTTTTTTATAATATTACCAAGGGGCAACATGTATATCGAAAATAGCAGAGGACCTAGGACAGATCCTTGTGGCACTCCATATTTTACTGGTGATAATTGAGATGACTCCCCATTTAAATGAACAAGGTGGTAGCGATCGGACAGGTAGGATCTAAACCATCTTAAAGCCTGCCCTTGAATACCTGTATAGTTTTGTAATCGATCTATGAGTATGTCATGATCTATAGTATCGAACGCAGCACTAAGATCAAGTAAAACTAGCAATGAGACACAGCCTTGGTCTGACGCAAGAAGCAACGCCTCGGCCGATTTCTCGAAGAGGTCGAGGAAAGCCTCTGGATCGTCCTGTCGTTCTATTTTGTTCAGGGGCAGATGAGAGGGGCCGACGGTGGTCCTCGATGTCGGCCCTCCTGCCTGATCCTCCTGGTCCACCCAGCTCTGGAACAGCTCCCGGTCCTCCTGTTGTGCCTGCATCAGCGCGCGGAAACGACATTGTCCCGCATCTCCAGCAACGCCTGATGCTGCTCTTGGTGGAGGCCGGCGAGCGACTGGATCACTTCCGCAAATGGCGAACTTGGCGGTGACTGCATGATGGCAGTGGCCGGACTTCTTCCTCCCTGGTTTCGGCACCAGTGTAATGAGGTTCTTTAGTAGGGAAGGAAGAAGTCGGAGTCAGCGTGACTGAGGCTCGGGTAATTTATTAAGCGTTCCGTAGGAACAGCGAATACAAGCAGGCGCTCTGGCGCTGCAAAACAAACAAAACTTATATAGCACTTCTGCGGTTCTCTATGCCCAGGCCACAGTCTCTCCCCCACGAGTCCTCAGTCTGTCTCTCTCCCTCTCTGTTCCCCCTAAGGCCTTTTTTTACGATCTCTCCAGGCCAATCACTGAAACGAGAAGCAGGTGAATGTCATCATGCACTTGACCTGCTTACTCACCGCTCATCTCCGACCACTCTCTCCCGCTGCAGACCCCGCTAAACCACGCCCCCCTCGCCACAGGCTTGTTTTGGGCTTGTTTTTTAAGCTGCGGTTGCTTATTTATCTTGCGAGAGTTGGCAACAGTGTTTGTGTCTCTCTGTCAGATAACCTCATGTGCATGATGTGCCATTTACAGGTATTTTCCTAAACCGCCACACAACTTGTATATTTTTCCACCACGGGGTGAGAACGTAATGATTACTAAAACGATTATGCATTTTTGATAATTATTATTTTATTTCAGTTAGTTTTTCCATAACTGTTGTTAGTTTCATTTTGTTTTAGTTTCGTTTCATTTATTTGGAATGACATGAGGGTGAGTAATTAATAACAGAATTGTCATTTTTGGTTGAACTATCCCTTTAATAAAGATGCATATATTCTTGATGTTTTTTTTTTAATTTTTGTAAAATTGTAATTTTGTATAAAATTCCTTCCTGTTACTCTATTCAGGTGGTGACACTGTTGAATGATCTGTACACATGCTTTGATGCCATCATTGATAATTTTGATGTATATAAGGTGAGTGTCTTTAATAGGCAGTGCAATCATTGTATTTTTTCATAAATAATTGTATTATAATTAGTCATTATTACTTTCATCTTTCTTCATAACGTTCATCAGCTTTTTTGAAGGCTTAGAATTGTGCAAAAATGTCTTTAATTTTTGCAGGTGGAGACAATCGGTGATGCATACATGGTGGTCTCAGGTCTGCCTGTGAGGAACGGGAAGCTACATGCACGTGAGATAGCCAGCATGTCATTGGCTTTGCTGGAACAGGTTAAAACATTCAAAATCAGACATAGACCCAACGATCAGCTACGGCTGCGAATAGGAATCCACACAGGTATAGTTAGTTTCATTCATTTTAAGTCTTTAAAGTGTTTATTTATTAGTGTTGAGAAAATCATGGCAAGTAAAGGCTAAGTAATTACTGTGTATAACAAATGCATATGAATATTTGTACAGTAACCCATAAGAATTTTTTTTTCTTATGTCAACTTTGTCTCTTTGTTTCTGAGTAGCCATAAAAAAACAGGATTTGTATGTAAGGGTTTTTGCAGCATTACTATTTTCTGTTTCTGATTCCACTGGAGTATGTCTGTGCATTTCTTATATAAAAGTAGATAGGAAGTTGAGATATAAGGTGCTTATATCATATACAGTATATGTGATCTCATTGCAGCTTTTGTTCAGTTGATTTTTTTTAACCTGTCAGGAAGCATTAAGATTATGTATAAGCAGTTTCTGGATTCCTGCAGTGTATTAATCTCCCTCTCTGCTGCATGTGTGTGTGTTGAGCAGGCCCTGTCTGTGCTGGTGTAGTGGGTCTTAAGATGCCCCGGTACTGTTTATTTGGAGATACTGTCAACACGGCATCCCGCATGGAGTCTACAGGGGAAGGTTTGTGTCAGAAATATGTTTTTGATCTTTGTTCAGAATGCAGATTTTTTTCCACACTTTGACAATGCAGCATGAGATTAATCCTTGTTTTGTGATTTTGATATATTTAAATACTATTAGTTTTTTTTGTGAAGGAAATTAATACTTCTGTTCAGCAAGGATGCATTAAATAGATAAAAAGTGACAGTAAAGACTAACATTTTTACAAAAAATAAAATAAGTACTGTTGAACTTTCTATTCATCAAAGAATCCTGAAAAATATCAAGTAACATGGATTATAATAAGAAATATTTATTTTGCATCAGCGTATTATGAGGGATAATGTGACACTGAAGACTGAAGTAATGGCTGGTAATAATTCTGCTTTGCCATCAAAGATTGCTCTTTAATATACATTGTAATAGAAGACAGTTGTTTTAATTTTAAATCATATTTTACAATATTACTGTTCACATAAATGTAGCTTTGGTGAGCTTAAGGGACTTCTTTCAAACACAGTACAACATCTTGCTACAAACTTTTGGACAGTAGTGTACATAAACAAAACTTGCAACTTTTATAAAAGCACAGGCACCTGCCATTATATGTGGTGCAATATTTGTTCGAAAACCTAGTGAGCTGCCTACCAAGACAACATTTTAAGACATCATTGGTGTGTTCCTGGCATGTAGATGATGACATGTCTGTCAGCAGAGATTAATTGTATTAATGGAATACAGAGTTGAAAGAAACGGCAGTTATATAGTACCGTTCCCCATGACTGCATTTATTTGATTAAATACAGTACAGCTCTGGTCTTCACTGTCACATGTTGGTTAGGGCGATGCTATAGAAGGTAGGTGCCTATGTGGACAGTAGACAGCGAGGCAGCTCACTAGGGTTTGGAACAATGCTGCTCAATAGTGTTGTATACTTGTGCACATGTACTTTAATATGCGTTTCACATATTCGCAAGTAACAGCTGTGATTCGACACTTACCACAAGTATCGACTTTATTAATAATGAATAATTAGTGACAAGGAACCAATATCTGATTTCCGGTTTGATTTATAACATGTAACAATATGTTTACCGCTTGTTGGAGCTTAATGCACACTTAGCCATAAGGAGCCCACGCATTATGGAGCCTATTTCAGATTAAGAGCAGTATGTTGTTCCTCCTATAGACAGGACAGTTTGGTCATTGCCCATATAGTATGTGTAGTGTGTCTGCTGCCATTCTTATAATTGGCAAATCATCTTTTATCAAGGTGTCATCTCACTCACAGCTGTGCACTTTGTATCGATTGTCTGGTCTTGGCTTGGTCATCATTTACTCAACCTCATTTCATTTTAAACTCATATGACTTTCTACTAGTGAACAGGGAGATTTCCCTGTACAACAGCAGCATAGTGGCCAAAACATAAAGGTATCACACTGTAAAAGTAATCCATACAGTCTTCTAAAATCATTCAACAGTTTGTGTGGCGCAATTTAAGCTATTATTCATTCAAAAAAATCTTCCCACATCTCACCTCAGATCTCATTATGCTTGCACATATTCACTCACTGTATGTTTTTGTTGTATGGAAATGAGCAGATTTTACATTCTTCAAAATATGCCCTTTTATGTTGTACAGAAAAAACTTGAGGTTGAGTAAATGATAACAGTTTTCATCTTCCTATTAATGATTATCATTTCCTCCACAGCTCTGAGGATACATGTGTCTACAGCCACCAAAGAGGTGCTGGATGA